CAATTGTTGAAACAGAATGCCGTTCGGTGTTATCAACAAGTGGCCATCCTGAAGATAAAAGGAAAGCCCTGGAACGTTTCACCCATGGATGGCCGGAAGAAGACGAAGCAAAGAAACTGCTGGTTACGGAACTACTACACTATGTAGTCAATATATGGGAATATAAAATAAAACTTCGAGTGAGTAGCCACAACTTACGGCTATTTTTCAGTGTCTGGGTCATCCAGAGCAGGACCCCATGGATAAGAACCACTCATGCATTTCCTATTTCTTGTACTCTAGGAGGATTTTTCGGTTGATGCATGCGCTCTCACGGAGAGCAGTTGGTGTTCTGAAACTCCTCATGAGTAACAAGCCAGGGAGAACATTTTCTCTTATCCGATTCGTTCAACGTCATTCGAGGAATTTGTGCTACGATTACAAATTCTTGTTTACCGTGTGCGACACATCTGAAAATTCGAATTTTCATGTGTGAGCCCAGAATCAAAAGCATTCTTGTTGCGTGAGCATGGGATGCTTACCTTGATATATTTCTCACTTATCGTTAGACCACATACTCCAAATGAGTGTTCAACGTCTAGTTCATACTGAGCCGTCTTGAAACTACGAGGCCGACAAAGACTAATTGAAACCAAACCGAGTTATCTCGACCGATCACATATTCGGGTCAGTGGTGATCAACAGAGCACAGAACAATGACAAAGGTCGAGCTGCTAGTATTGATCAGCTTAACCAATCGTAGAGGAACAGATGCGCGCCAAATTGTGATGACAACAATGGCACAAATATATCCATAGAACAATCACAAGTGAAGTTGAAAAGCTCGATCAGGACTCGTTTGAAAGACAACGGGATAAAAAATGACTATGCACACGTATCTTCAAGTTCTCCGGTAAAATAGTATAAAAGATAGACGGAATAATGAATGGGATTCACATCCAAGACGGCGATATCACACAATATGCGATACTTCGGAAAGATCGCCTGAACCGAGGGCAAACAAAACAGAATGACCGGTAGGAATGTGGTCACGTAGATTACCCGGTATAGTGCGCACTATAAACAGACAGTCAGTATCCAGGCTTGGATTTGAATACCACCGGATTTGGTGATTATTAGGAAAATTCAGGTGGAAATGATGGTGTAATGGTTGAAGGAAAGCAGTAAACAGTTGTTTCATCCATTTTAGAGCTCGTTTGTAGCGCGTATATTTTCTTGACTCCGTCCGGAGGCGACGTCTTGATCTGTCCGAGAATCAATCGTACAAATATTTGCATTTCACACATGGGGAATAAATGAACTCCAAAGCAGTGTAACCCATATAGAGAACATACACAAAGCAAAGTGCCTGTAAAAAATCGCATGGATCATCGATGCACCAAGTACCAAGTACAAGCAAATTTCAAAGTCGTCAATTAATTAACTCCAACTTTTTCTTCGTCAAGATCATTGCACTGTGATTTGTTTTGCGCACAGTCGTGTGCGAATATTATATATATTCGATTAAACTTGATGGAATGAAACATTCGACAACCATCGTCGCACTCCGCTAACCGTATCTAAATTAAAATGAGCCCTTCCATGTGAAAAACGAAATACATGGAACTTTTTTCAAAACGGAATGACTTTACTGTATGATAGTAAGTATCATAAAAATAGGTTAAAGTGCGATGGATACTCATGAAATTATATACTAGTGAACGTCAGTTACTAAACTTGAAGTTTCTAAGCGGTGTTCTAGCCGCATGAATGCGGTTACGGTATTTGAAAAAGCCTACTGATCAATCCCCTCTACAAATCGGATAAAACACTGAAACTTGAGGAGGGACATAATTTTCCGATGCGAACCGAACAGTAGCTTACGATTAGTCAAGCAGCTATCATCAGATGAAAACAACACCGATAATTGTACGAGGTTAGAATCCGGCTTGCTAGCAGCACACCTTCGACTCTTCAAGCCAATTGGGATGGTTGAAACTTAATTACACACCAATGCCTGATGAACAGTAGGAATGGATAACATTTCCGCGGAGACGCACCGTTCACTCACGACAACCGGCAACCTGAGCCGTGAAACGTTTGGTGGCGAAATACAGAGCCTGACTGGGATCGGAGTGGTAATGAACCTGAAGACAGAATGCCTACCTACCACAAAAGGTTGGGTATCATCATCGTACAGCGTGATACAGTGAAGCGACCTTGAATGATCGTACACATAATAGGTGAGAATATGCAGAGGACAAGGATTAGGTCTTTTTACAGGCGGGAAAAAACCTCTACAGTCAACACACATAGTACACAGTCCAAATGCGCATACACTCTACTTCAAGCAATCTGAACCCAGAAGAAGTGACAGCAAATCGCCTCTGCTTTGTACTAAGAAGGTGCGAAATGCATGACGAACGGAGCAAAACAACTTGCTAATCTGTCAGGTGCGTTCTGTGCATGTTCCATACATTCGAACAGGCAGATGATGTCGCACAGCTTCTCACCAGCTGCCCATGGAATACCAATATTTGGGAGGCAACTTAATGCGTTTTCCAGTATTTCGTCTATGACGAAATCAAACAGGACAGGCAAAACAGGGAACTCGNTTATGAACGACCTTCTCGGGTCGTCGTAGATGTTGACGCTACCAGAATTAATGCGAGTATAGTGACCACAGTATGTCCACACACCGGCGGCATTCTTTTGCGAAGGAGTGAACCTCTGAGGGATTCACTGTCAACTGAGTCCAAGGCTCATTTTAAGTTAAGGAAAACCGTTGGTCCACGGTTTAAATGTCGTAGTTCGAGGACTTCACGCAGCGTGGAGATCTGGTCGTAATGCTGCTTGTTGTTCAGGGATATTTTTTTGCCTGAAGGGTGTACTTTTGTTATCAAACTCCACCGTGGTGGTTTGCGCAGTCGTTGCGAAATCTCTTCTTAGAAATTGGAGCAATTAGTAATTCGCTCCAAGATGATGAGATGCGCTCTTGCGATCAAATGTTAGGCATTGAATAGGTAATGGAATCTACGATGTCATCACACCGCGTCACGTTGCAATCTCTTCGTTATCGAAAAGTTAGATAACAGTGACAGGATTTGAGCCTCGAAAACCACGGCCCAAAGGAAGCCACAGACGGCTACTTAAACTGCTTTACCACCATCTTGTCTTGCGAAACTCAAAACGATGCTGTATATTCAATAAATCAAACTTAGCAGAAATGCCGTAATCGTGACATTTAATCAGGCAGTGATTCAGAAGATATAGTGGTGATGCACCGAAGTCCCGTTTTATTGAGTTAACTCAATGCTCGGTTGCATTATTTGCTCATCTCATAACACAATCTGTTGCCATTGGAATAGAAAAAGTAATGGAGCATCCAAATAAGACCTAGAAATGCATTTTGGACAAGGTTGTTTTCAGTTACCTCTATAAAAAAAATCAGCGATGTCAATAGATTCAGTGGATACGGAAATTTCGGGAAAACTCCGTTTGTGCCGCAATGTAACCCACAACGCAGATGCGCAGTGAAAAAATGACCAAATTGGATGGTAGGAAATACAACAGACGGTCAGGTTTATTAGACAACACGAGTTCAGCGGACCAGGATGAACGAATAGCGACCATGGATTTCTAAGTCAAATAGAATGAACTCAATGCTCCAGGGCTACTTCATATAATCATGATCAGCGAGCATAGAATAGTTGAAGAACGATTAGCTCAGATTAACGAATGTGATGTAACATCCTGTTCCGAGTGGACCAACTTGAACAATCTTAAATTCTGGATTAGGACTACTTGTGGAACAAGCCGTTGTGACCGGAGAACAACAGTCCTTGAAGGTCGAAATTAAAAGTTGAAGTCGTCAATGGGAGATGCAATGCTGGCAGTTTAAAGTTGGGTGAGCGAATGAGCGCAGATACTAAACCAGATCCGTAAGAAAGATCTATTGGTACTTATAAGCTGGATGTATAAGCTGGTGTAACTTTTCTCAAAGAATATTTTATCGATGTGAAAGCTAACTGAAAAGACGTATTGTTGTTGTGTGTGTGCACAATACGCTCAATGTTGTAACAGTGGTGATGGCAGCATCCAGAACACGCATTGAAGGGACAACAGACGAACCAAATGCATTCAAAAGAGCAAGCGGGAGAGAAGCAGACTATATACGGTGCGATGTTAGAGGGGGAATTAAATACGCAGGTAACTCAAGCGTCAAACAGCAGAAAGCAAAGAGAATTCTCCTGAATCAACGGAACCGATGTAACTGGATACTCCTAAACAACCCCTTCTGTTTGGAAGTGCGTATCTTTGGAGTCGATAGCTCGAAAAAACTACACCGATCGAATTTGATGTACTATAGATCTCAAACCTCAAAACACTGGTAGAGAGTAAACCAGAGCAGAGATTTGATATCATGTCATAACAACAATCCAACTGGAAACGCAAAAATACTGTGACTCAGTGGTTATTGATTTCCAAGTTATTAGTTTGACGATCGAAATTGAAGTTTGTCAAGAGACAACAAAAGAGGGGTAGTTCTTTTCAATAAAAATTCTATGTATGTTCGTATCATGGCACCAAACAAACCTTGAAACATAAGAAAAACAACGGAGAAACACGCAGTTGCCTAACTCAGTTTGTGTGCAACAGTGCGTGTTCCTTCGGGGAGAGCAAGGTAAAGGAGCGCTTTTTATTCCACGGCTGTCTTGGGGGTTTAAAGCATACCAGAGATGGTTTACATGACTGCGGACAAGCAACGATCGTTTCTGCGTAACGCTAAGAAAAAGGTACATGTGTACAGGCTGTCAATAGCGTTACCGATATTGTCGGTGGTTGAAATCGAGCAAATATGTAAACGCACATCACTCACAGGACCAATCACTTGATTGTTCAATTAGAGACCACGCGATGGGTAAGGCACAGATGTATGTGCGCTGATTTAGTCCTACATAGTGCCACATTCAATTATACGCTGACACCGTCGACGTTGTTCCACCGTTTCGGTCAGCTAATCACATGAAAAGCGACAGAAATGGGTTGACGTAGGCCATAGGGCGCACATCTGGATGAGGGACTTCGCTGAACACAGTGAATGATGGTTTCATCGGATCCGGCTTTCGTTTGCCGATCAATGTGATGAACGCGCCGCGATTGTGCATTGTATCGCAATAATTTGGCGCAGAAAACACGGTTACGCACCTGTCATTGTGTGCTAATTCATAGCCATTGTCCTTTACCTGAAAGAAATAAACAAAAGAATTTCCTGAAACCGCTTGTCACTGCAAACATATTAAACTCCAATTGATCAATAAAATCGACTTTGCAAGATATTGTCCGTATATGAGCCAGACATTAGACACACTGAGCTCCATATAACTTAGAATATCACAAATTTCATACAAAACAAAAGTCACCATAATTCACCAAGGATAACAAAAGTGCGGTTCGTTAATTCGCGAAGCCAGATANGAAAATAGCAAACATAACAAGTTACCAAATAAACTTTGGAAAAGAAGAAAGTATAAACCGATATTGTAAAAGAACGATAACTGAGTGGTGAGATCACGAAGAAAAACAAAATGCAGACTTTTGTGAGCACTAACAGGAAATTCAATGGTATTATCAATAGTACTAGTATTATTACTGTGTATAAATATATATACATTATGGAGAGAAGTGTCACAATACATGGAACAAAAGCGTGTTCAACAGTAAGCTGAAGATAGAATAACTTGAAATAATTGCGTCATTGTCTACAGTTCCGAGCTTTAAGCCATAAGTGCTGATTCCGTTCGAAAATCCGAAAACGCCCTGATATGAAAGCCATTAGGATTCTACTTTGTAGTACACATATACTTTTACAAGGAAGTGCAAGGTTGGTATCAGTGCTGGTGAAGTCAGGTCAAGGAATCGCTTTATACACCTCGAAAAGTAGATATTCAGCAATCACACAACCACAGCATGTGTGGAAGCAGTCACCTGGACGACATGCCTGATCTACACCCAAGTCAACGAAGACTTCGGAGAGCGGAAATGCCCCAAATTTTCGGCTAGAAAGGTTCGACGTGGGGCTTTCTGCGCTTCATAATTTCACTCGGGGCAATCCAAAGTGAAATGCTCATCAGGTGAGTGGCTTCACTGATTACAAGGCATTAGAAATAACAAAACTGCTACAGTTCGAATTATGATCATTCGACTTTTTGCTATCGCAGTTTCCCCGTTTATAGGCTCTGGAGTCTAATATTTTATAGTCATCATGAGCCGCGTAGCGTTCAGTCTTATCCGATAGTGATATCCGAAAGTGATATGATATCAACCGCCCCGAATCTCTGATCGTACAGTGTGGAACTTATAACGTTTCATGTAGAGTTCGAGTGGTTGTGGAATTAGTGAAAACACACTGTGCTGATGTTTCTCGACAAGCTGAAGGAAACAATTTCTGCTGGTTTTTAGTAATACGAATGAAACGTTGGAATGACATACTGAAAAAAACGTGTAGTCGCTTCATGTAATAACCGGCGATTTAGGAAACGGTCTATACACCGACAAAGTAGTGAGTATCAAATCGAATTACCACCAACAATTTTACCTCGTGACTTCGAATAATGTAGTCCAAACCGTTAGCTTTGCAAAATCGTTCCGTTACGTCTGGACCAAACTGACAGCCAATACCGCGTTTGGATGTTGTTCGTCCGTTAGCTTCCATCGGATCAGACCAAAGCAGTTCGCACATGGGACTACCCTCGGGTGGTTGCCGATCCCGGGAAATCTTGCGAATATCATCCAAGGTTACATTGTCATTGCTGAAAAGTCCTCCATGCATGACCTGTAGAGAAACAGATACCAATGTGAGCCCGATACGAAACACATCAACGGGGGTAACGCATAGATCTGCTCAATAAGCAGCAAGAATAGATTTCTGCCCAAGTTATATTCAATAACGTTAGATAAAGTAAAGCACTAAAGTAAAAGGGTAATGCAGCACCCACGATTCAAATAAAGCGGAAACAAAATACAATTTAAGGAAAAGACTTCATTGCAAGAAGAACACGGTAGGGAAAAAACTCGTTTACAATGATTCATCTAGAGGCTAATACATGACAATTTATACGAAAAAGTTTAGTAGGGCGGAGTAAACATCAAAAAATGGGAAGAGAAATAATCAACGTTTCATTGGTTCGGGTGGGGTGATGACTGTGTCGTGTGTGCTGGCCATGGAAGATAGGGTGCTCTAACGAATTATTTTTGGGAGCATAGGGTGGGGGATTATATAGGCGGAATCCGATCGCCTTCGCTGTGGCCAGATTGTGTCTCCTAATAACCCTTTGATTGACGGTTGAGAACTAATTGGATGGGTTGAAACGCCTCGGCTACATCAACCTCCACCAGTTGTGAAACGGTCGAGCTGTTGATAATCCTTGGGCGATGGTGGCTCAACGTTTTAAGTCGCTATCCCTGACGTCGTCAGGATTCTAACGATTGAGGTTTGAATTGTGCTAAGATCACCCACACTTTGTAGCAGACATGTTCACTGGGTTAAATTCTAGGACCAGCCCATTAGGACCTTACGTAAAGAGCCACTCCAAGTTCCAAGATTTAGCTCAATGATACCCATAATTGAATCATCGGTCTCCGCGATTACGGGGTTCATCGTTTTTTCACCACATTTGAGTGTAAAATCAAAAGACATCATGTACAGCAATCACAATGACCCTCCTCCCCATATCGATGAGATGTGCTCTGGTATTCCCCACTGAAGCTTGGTCATCAGGATCATCATGTTTTTGATCACCAAGCATCAACAACAGTCTAAGTTATATGAGAGGAATGGAGGATTTGACATGCTCATATGATGAATTCGTCGTGTAAATGAGGGGTGAGCTGAAAACTGGGAAGCACTGGACAACTGTTTCGACCAGGTTGGATCTAATCGTCAGTTGGGTCGATGGATTCGCACTGCTGATGAGACCCAACCAGGTCGAAACAGCTGTCCAGTGCTTCCCAGCTATTCAGCTCACGTATACGACGAATTCATCATCACAACAGTCTACGTGTTGTTTGGCTCTACGATAATGAGCGTCCCTTCCTTCGTTGAGTACGGCAAAACTTTATTCTTCAGATTACTGAGCAGTGGTGGTCTCGATACATGTATCCTATGTGTCAAATACATTATCAAAACCACCGGAGGTGACGGTCATTAAAGTGTTTCACCGTTGGGATAAATTTCTTCACGCAACCGCCAAATGCCTGTCGAGATTGCGCGTTTGCAATAAAAGGAGCCTGTAAAAAAGCACATTCCACTAACAAGGGATTTGGTTTTTTGTTAAATATCTGTGTGATGAACAGTAGAGAGAGAAGGGTCACGACTGACAAATGCTTAGTTACGAGAATATGCGACATGAGACCGCGAAAAAGCAGTGATGACCCATTTATGAATTCAAAGGGATAAAGCTGGTGCTACAACAACGCTAATTAATACCGAAGTTTAGTAACCGTGACAGGATTCCCATTCTGAACCTTGGAGCTCGGAGTGCACCAGTAACGACGAAATGAGTGACATGACCACGTGGGTCGTGGGTAGGATGTCTTGCAACATTCTTAATTTTAGCCCCATTTTCAGAAATCAACTTCGAATTTCGAGCAGACGCTATTACGGAAATTGTGCGTCGTGCTGATAAAACCGGCCTAAAAAAGGAATGCGTGTATTGGCCAAAACGAGAAAAAGACAAAAACAAACTTGATTCGTGATGTTTTTTGTCATATGACAGTAAAGGAGTAAGCCCCACAATGATAAAGACTACTGCATTGTGCAGACCGGGGAAAGTTATCCGAAACACAGCTTGTTGATTCCACCCTCGTTTCTATCATATTTCACACTGGCATAAGTTTAGACTGTGTCGAAGAAATTACAATACAACATTCTTTATAACAGATAAATGGACCTATGATTCTGCTCTTAAAAACGGAAAACTTATAGTAGGGACGAAAGTGTTTAACAATTCCGGGTTTCCTGGACCGAGAGTATTTGACCATCGCTGTCCCCTGTGATTTAAGGGTCATCCGGTAAGGGTGACTTGAGTCTCGTGGGCGGGTTTTGAGAGCCAATCGATAAGCCCCGCAAGACGAAGTCCGCGATAATGAATGTAGAAGAAAGACAATGAGGCGATCGGCAAGTGATTGGAGAGTAAATGTTAGGGAGGGACCGAAGATTTGGTGAACAAGGTTTAGAAATACCAAAGAAGAGAACAAGGTCCCAACCCAGATAAAAACTACTATATTCCGAAGAGGGACGAATTGGAGTCTCGTAAAGAGTGAGAAGTCGAAAGGGATTGAAAAATAGTTGGTAGAAAAGGTAGGGAGTTTTCCTGGAGGCGTAAGACGCAAGCTCAACAATATGCAGGGAACAAGAGGACGGGTAGACAAGGGAGGAAATGAACAAAAGTCGCAATGCAGTTGGACAGCACACGGATTATGCCTGTGGGATATACATGACGGCTAGGCGAAACGTCTCAAGATACGTACATGTAAGGGGGCAGATGACCGCGCAAGGAAAGCGTGAACTGTAATCTAGTGTGAATATCGAGCAGTGATTTCAACTAACAGAATCAAATATCAACAGCACAGACCACAAGTCATAAGGGCCGCTTTATTCCAACCGTAAGGACGAAACTCAGTCGATTGCACTGAAGGGTTATGATTTTCGAAGCCTACATATGTGGTTTAAAGCAGCAATAGAGCGTCAATTAATGGCGCGCTGCCTCTGGTGGCGACAAGCCTTTAAGAAGAACCATATTTGAGTGGCTTGCGGAATTCAAGCGTGGCAGGCAGTCAATAGATGATGAGATATGGTGTGGTCGACCTGCGGAGGCAACCATAGCGGACAATATTGCTCCTGTGCAAGCGATGGTGGAGGAAGATACGCGAGTGACAGTGGCACAGGTGGAGAAAGCCATCGTGATCTCATCGGGAACAATCCACACCACCATACATCACAAGCTCGGCCTCGGAAAAGTCTGCGTAGTCTGGGTACTTCCATTAGCTCAGTGAGGAACAGAAAGCAGTTCAGATGAATTGGTGCCGTACCCTTGGTGATTAGATCTCGGT